CTGAAATTTTTGAACGATTCTTTGAACAGCACATCAGTTTTTGCACGGCGTGTCATTAGAAGGAAAACTTAAAGTCAGGTCGTCGTCATGTATCACAATGATAGTGCTGACAGATCAATGATGAAAATCAGATCTGCCGATCCTGGCATAGTCTTTAATAACAGACTAAACTATTTCTATCTTATCATTTATTCATGTATCAGTAAGCATTAGGATCCTCTATTGTACTACCGTCATAACGAGCCATGGATGGTGTATAAAACAGTGAAACATGCCACCTCTGCTTTAACATATAAAATCAGATCATGTGCCTTCAATTCCACTCTGAAGTTAATCTTTAACGACGTGGTTCATTTTACTACGGTTCAAGAAACTCAACCATTCCGTGGTTGCGGGCAGGATCCATTTCTTTTTCCTATCAGTTTCATAGATTGCTGTGAAACGATGTCAATATCTTTCGTTGATTAGAAATACTTCCACCAATACAGACAGCCGATTAGAAATGTTTTTACCCATTAGGATGAACAAGGTGTTTATTGGAAACCTTCTCATAGAGCAGCATTAGATTATAGATTGACATACCTCTCAACTCGCATTAACTAATAATAAACTAACGGCCAAAAGAAAAACGCCACCAAATAAATAATGGTCGTCAGTTTTCAACAAATTTGCCAAACAGCACGAAAATAGTTGGGAACACATAGCTGAAATGCAACTTACCTATTCCCTGTGAACATGCGCAGGTGCTTCGTTCGATTTGCGAGAAAAGGGAATTTAATCACTAAAAAATGAAAAATGGGCACAAAGTTACCCGTATGAAATTCTGGCATAAAACATGAGCAGGATTGCACTCTCTCATCACATAAAACCTTTTAAAACAACGAACATGCCTCGACTAACCGCAAAGCAGAGGGAGAGAGACATCGGTATGTTGCAAAGGGGAGCGACGCAGGAGCACGTTGCCAAGATCATTGGCTGCTTAAGTGCACCATCGCCAGACTTGTCACACGTCACAGGCAAACTGGCAGTACTGCAGACAGGCCGAGAAGTGGAAGACCCAAGGTCACGACCCAACAGGAAGACCGGTATTTACGGGTGCTTCACCTAATTCCAGATTCCTAACTGTGATGTCATCATCCGCAAACAGCCTTGGACATCCAGACAGCAGAAGGACCGTTACTAGACGACTCCGTCTGTATGGTCTCCGTGCCTATCGACCTTTCAAGGGCATGACGTTACCGTTTCTACACCGACGTCACAGACTGAGATTGGCCAGGACTGTACAGCATTGGCAGCAGAGAAATTGGCGGAGAGTGCTCTTCAGCGACGAGAGTAGATGCCAGCTCTTCAAGTCTGCTCGGCGGGTTCGAATCTACCTCCGACGTGGTGAACGAACGGCACGTTGTTGCGTCCAAGAAGTTGAGCCTTATGGAGATGGTAGTGGCATGGTGTGGGTGGCATCTGCGGGGACCAGAAGACAGCATTGGTCATCATCGACGGAAATCTCACTGCACGTCGTTACATTGATGAGGTTTTGCGGCCTGTGGTACTACCTTTCCTGCAACGACACCCACGGACGCTATTTCAGGAGCTCGAGTCACAAGCGTCTTTCTGAACGCCAAGAACGTGACCGTTTAACAGTGGCCAGCCAGATCACCGGACTTGTCGTCCATAGAGCACCTCTGGGACCAACTTGGACGCGGGATTCGGAAACGTCAACAGCCGCCATTGACGAGGGATGCGTAGGCAATTGCCCTGCAGGAAGAATGGCGTAGGATCCCTGATCAGCATGTCAGGAGACTCGTGTACTCAGTTCGACGTCGTAGGTCCTGCATCGTTGCTTGAGGGGGTCACATCCGATACTGAGCCGTGTTTGTAGCACGGGACTTTAAAAGAGTTCGACGTCGATTCTGCGGGTGTGATCGAATACTGGACAGTACAGTTCTTGTTTTTTTATAATAAAACACCTGTTTCTAAATTTTGCGTCTGTTTTGTTTTAGACGAGACAATTGTTTGGTGTCATTTAGTATGTTGGGCACATGGAGATAGTGGTTAAAGAGTTCGCTCGTGACGGCTTTGTACTCACTCACTCAAACAACCACCCTTCCAACCAACTATCCACCTGTCAGTACCTAGCCATGCCTGTTCACATCTACGACTCTCTGTACAGAGTAATTCTTCCTTAGCTGTGACAGGAACAGCTGACGTTGGGTTCCAATCTCAGATACGCCAAAATGAGGATCCCCCCACATTAAGCTGTTACATCCCGCACAAACTGAAATATGCTTTAAAGTTAATTATCCCACTCACTCAGTACAATGTAGAAAATGAAAATTAATCATAATTATTTAAAAAATATTCGATTGAAAAGTCATCATAGGGTACATTATCTCAGCGACGTAGCCAACTTCAGACTAACTATTACACAATTCCAAAAATTCCAAAATGGACAACCAAAAGGTCAATGCGGTCAGGTATTTTAAGCTGCTGTTGATTTATATGAAATCCATTTTTATGCCCAACCGCAGCTTTCTATATTGAGGCAGCATTCAAGTGAGAGTATTTCTGACGTAATAACCAGCCGGCAGTAATCAATTCAGATGGCATTATATTAAATTCAATTTGGCAAAAACAAAACATTTCTTGTCACAAGTTATCCCGTTTTTGAGTCTCTTACGTAATGGGCGCAGTATGACGGTCCAAACCAAAGCATATTTTTTGTTCTTGGCATCCAATCCCTTAGAAATCATATTGAAATTGAAAACGGAAGGAGTCTTATACAGCGTGATTGACAGATATCAACCATGCATGTACCTGACAGGTATTATGACTAAAATAAAACGCCTGGCTGAGATACTGAAATAAAAAGCGCGAATCGGTCTGGAGAAAAAGTAATATTGATGTACATGAAAATGTGCAGTCACTGTCACTGAAATCTCCAAAAGTTTAATATTAAAATATTTTGCCCTCCACAAACTGCACATCGGCGCAACTCACAAACTGCAAAACGTCATTTCAGAGGTCATTGGGATACGTATCAATTCACTGCGGAGAACTCGCTGATTGTCACTAACATGTGCATGCCGTGTGCACAAATAACGGTAATTGTCCGAGCTTCACTGCAAGAGTATTCGTTCGCAAGGCGACACGATTGATGAGTGAGCGCGTGATGTGTTTTTATATGTGGGTGATAAAGATGACCTTCAATGAGGGATGACCTCGTGGGACCTGGGTTAGAATAGGTCCCAAGCACTGTATTACTTGTAGGCAGCGACTAGACAGGATCGGATGGTCAGGCTGGGAAGATCGACTGTCATCGTACCCCGATTACATGGACCGTTGCTCCTGTTTTCAGTCACCGGTTTGCGTGATCCAGATTGGATAAGTCGACATGATGGAGGATGAATAGAACTGTGTTGTTCACTCACTCACTCAACCAGTGTAGGATCGTTCCTCCCAAAGTTTCATATGGTTTGACGAAGTACTTGCAACCATCTGGAGGAACATTCAGTGTTCTTCTCACGTACCAACTGTTAGTTTGGGATATATGAGGTGCTAACTTGGTGATCTGTAGATATTTCTAAAACTTTTATGGAACTATATATGAAAATATAGAAGTGGAGCTAAAAATTTACTTATGGGTATAGATCTCTCCACAAATATGTGAATAAATTAGGTATCACGGTTTTCCGCGCTATTCTGGGAATATCCGTGCGCATCGAACCACTAGGTTATCCTATCTCATCCCCCCAGGTGTCGTGTTGCTTTTTTGCGGTTTTTTGCTTTTTGACGCATTCCAGATATAACAGATATATGAGGGCGGCCTAGAACAACTGCCGGGGCTTTAGTTTTTTTTGTTAAAGGCTGCTTCAAAACAAGGCATTCTTTTCTGAAAAAGAGCAGCCAAACAAATATGTCTCACGACTCATTTTTGAACAGGACATCTATCATATCACGCGAACAACTTTTGTTGTTGTTTGATTTCTTTTGTTGTTTTTGTTTCTGTTTGGATGTGGGGGGTAAAACCCGGGGGCAAACAAATTTCGTTCCATAGTCTGGAACAATTATTCATATAAATTAATATGGCCCTCAGACAAACACTCAACCCCATCCCTTTATATAAAATGATGCATCCCTCTTCGCCATTACATATATTCTGTCGGGCAAAAAAAGCATACACGTATGTTTGGTGGTGGCTAAAAATGAAATAAAAAAGAAATGCTTTTTCAATGGTCATGGATTTGATACGGGTATCGTGATTGTGCTCTGGACCTTACGTTGGCAGTGTTTCGGTGCGTGTTTTTAGCCTAGTGACGCTTTTATAACGTTTGTAATTTATTGGCCAAATCGAATTTCAAGTGTACACTTCCTTTTACCAGTCAGTCTGTTGTCACTAATACAGCGCAGCACGAAAACTTACTTTTCTATAGTTTAACAAAAATAGGTAAGCCAAGCTTAAAATATTGTTATTTGACCTTCTGTTACGAGTTTGTTGGATATACAGTTCCCAGCAGTTCACTATGGCCTTCAGGATAAACAAATATGAGTGTTTCTTCATAAAAATTGACTTCGAGACCTTTGCGTTCCTGGAGTTAGTTGAATCAATACACGACAAGATTTGATCAAAAAAACTTTGATGGGCTACAGAGCCCCGTAGCTGTACAGTTTACTTTCTTTAGTTATGTCTCCGTAAATATTACTATATATTCCTTATACTGCTTCGGATACATAAGTGAGTGACAGCGTGCATGCGTGAGTGTGTGAGTGAATGAGTGAGTGAGTTTGGAAGGAGACGGGACGTATCAATGAAGAGGCAAGAATTTAGTAAGATAAGGACTTCGTCAAATACAATTTCGATCTAGGATTGACAAAAAGCTCTCTTACCGGGCCCCGATTTCTCGAAACAAACTTAAGTTTTTACTCAAATCTCAAACTGAGTTTGCAAAGAAAACTCAGCTGAGTTTTTTACTCAACTGCATTTTTCGAATCAAACTCAGCAAAAACTCAGCTGAGTTTTTAACTCAGCACTTAAGTTCGATCTCAGTTTGTTTTTTTATGCGATGTAAGCGGCCTTGGCGCGAGATTTGACTTCCGTTTCCAATGTAAACACGGATGCGCGTGATGTTACGTTTTGTCGTCTGCTAACATATCCGCGATGGCTGAGAGCAAACGGAGGCCGAATTGGACTGAAGAAGAGCGAATTTTATTAATTGACAATGTGAACCAAATTCAACATCGACTGTTTGGAAAATTTAAAGGATGCGGCACAACGAAGGGAGGAAAAATCAAAGAACAAGCCTGGGAGGAGGTGGTGAATGCCCTAAATGCGTAAGTCACATAGTTGCAGTAGTTACAGTATGACTCTATTATCGCGGTGTCGGCAAATCTCGTAATCCACACACCTGTCGACTGTTTACTTATGCAAATCTAAGTACGATAGTTCATCGCATGATCGAATACAGGACTGGTTGCGGTATGTAACGACTACTTGCAAGTATACACACGTTAACTCTTTTGATGATATTTTCTGGAATGTTTTTGAAGTGGAAAAGCCCCTACCTCCAATCAATTTTTGTAGGCATTGTCGCATGACCCATGCAGCCGAGGTCGTATGCATACTGAATATGCATAATCCAAAACAGGAAGTGATGAAAAACACATAATCCACACGTATCACACCAAAATAGCCATAGCGAGATGATTTAGAGTTGCCCGCCCTTGAGTCGCCAATGACGGGAAGCTTTGTTTACCGAATATTGGATAAAGAAAATCAGCATCGATTAATACCAATGGATGTGTCATAGTTGAATAATGAATAAGAAACATTTTTTCGTATTACATAGTTACTGTGTTAGTAAGCATTCGCCGTTACGATCAACTATAAATTAATCACCGCGATATTATATTTAAAGCGTACCATCATCATTCACACCTTGTTTACTGTCTCGATTTCACTGCAAACACAAAGGTTTGGCTAAAGAGAAGTCGGGAACTAAGAGACGGGAAGAACAGTTATACCGAAATATCATATTTGTGGCATGTTAAAGTGGATGAAAGTAAGTTTGGAAGTTTCAGGTATATCTGGGCCTTGTCATCAGGAAAACCTAAAAAGGCTTTAGCTGCATGAGGGTCGTGATTGGGGTGTACTGTATTTCCGCTCTAATAACAATGATAATAATAAGATATTAATAATAATACATACGTTTCTGTAATTTTTACTGGACTGTTTTAGGAGTGAGATATGTCTCAGTAGATAAATGAATTTTTGAAAACACAAGTACATATTTGCAATTGTGATTCATCTCTGGCCAAGAATCATCATGAGGTAGGTACTGAAATATTTGCAAAACGTGCTTGTGCTCTGCTCCCATTGATGTCTGAAGCAGGACTGAGAAGTATCGGGTTCAACGTCCTTTGCAGTGAGTTAGATTTGCATACATTTATTATTTTAGCATGTGCAATGGATTCGCACATTTAATTATTAATTTAACTAGTGTGATGGGTTCACACATTTATTATTTCAACAAGTGTGATGGGTTCACGCATTTATTATTTCAACAAGTGTGATGGGTTCACACATTTATTATTTCAACAAGTGTGATGGGTTCACACATTTATTATTTCAACAAGTGTGATGGGTTCACACATGTATTATTTTAACATGTGTGATGGGTTCACACATGTATTATTTTAACATGTGTGATGGGTTCATACTTGGATGTTTATGATAACAAAGTGTTTATTTATAATATTTAAGTTAGATGTAATGAAGCTTTTGAATGGTAGTCTTAAAGATTAATCTTTAGACATCGGTTCGATTCCGGTCGAAGGCATACACATCAAAAATCATTATTCACTGCATGTATTTGTATTTTGTGATGCGATGTTCTTGTATTAATATCCTTATTATTAATAAATGTTGCAATAACACATTATTTAAGTGCAAAACATGTTTTTATTTTTGGTATTTAAATTTTGATGTCATTGGGACACCTTTACTCATTTAATTAATGGTATGTCACACTAAATGTAACATTAGGAAACAACTGAAATACCATGAATGAAGACAGGTACATGGATGCATACATTTGACATACTCCAGCATATTGGTATTGTATACATTAAAATGTAATTCACACTTATGTAACATTGACACAATTACAGTGACTTGACACTGGACAAATAGTTATATGATAGTTATGTATAATACGAGTATTTCATTTTTTTGCCATGGGGTCCATGATAATGAATAAACATGTCTGTATGTCTGTCCTACCTGTTGATAGGTGGGTAGGTGAAAATTGGAGGCATTGATCACACCATTAGTGGTAAGTCAGTAAGACAACAAATTGTTGCATATTACATAAAAATACACAGGCAGTTTGTTGAGTGTGAGGTCAAGGAAAATATTTAATTTCATCACTTGAGTAACATTATCATGATGGTCTGTATTTCTATTTTAACAGAAAATCAGGAGAGGTCAAAAGAACAGTTGAGGAGGCAAAAAAACAGTATGCCAATCTGAAACAAAGAGGTTCGACATTTACAGTCTATACAAGTATCAGCATATGAAAACTAATTAACAGATACAAGTACATCAATGCAGCTGAAGGCCAGCATAATCAAAATATCTGACAGGAATTAAAACAATGAATAAATAATAACAGAACTTACTCAATAAGAAAACAATAACATTGTTGTCATCGTCATTTAAGTATGTTAATTTCAGTATGTTATTTACAAAGGTAAATCAATAATGTCATCACAAGCAGATGTAATAAGTTATATGGTGATTTGTCTTCAGCCAAAGACAAATCTGATGCCATCAGACGTCCCAAAACTGGTGGTGGGCCAAAGCCAGTCTCGCCCTCATTTGCCGAGACGTTGATCATTGAAAATCTACAAGATCGACCTACCCTGCAGGGTTTGTTAGATGGCTTTGACACTGAAGGTATAATAAATATGCACATGCTTAATATATATATCAAGTATATCACTACTTTGATAAAAAATATAATGAATTATAATTATGAAAACAATTGAAAAAAATAAACTAAACACTCATCACAGATGCTTATGAGTCAATGTGATAATGTGATAAAATATGTTGACAATTCAAAAAATGATAATGAAAATACATAATTAGTCTTATAGCTATTTCATGTTCACTGCATACATAACAATAATAGAGTCCTAAAAATAAATACACAACAAACATATAAACAAAGAGAATGGCTATAATGATTTTGTTCATGAATGTTTCAGATTTCAGTGGAACACTATCTGCAACAACTGCATCAGAGGATCTGGGGTTGGGCATGGACATGTTGTCAAATGAGCCCAGTAAGTTCTAAATAATGTACATGTCGGATTTCATGTGTTTACACATATGTCAGCTTTGTACTAAAAATTGAATTGAATAACTTCCTAGAGAAAACAGCAGCACATAGCGCATTTTTGTGCAATAAAGGTACAGGTGTCAATGAAAAAAACCTGGTCCAGCATTTATGTATGATTAAATGCAAATATATTTCTGATATAAGTGTTAATTCATCAACAGATACTCATCATGATTTAAACCAAACTCATAAAAATATGGGGCGTTAGGTTATCCTAGTGGTTAAAGCGTTAGCTCATCACGCAGAAGACCCGGGTTCGAATCCCGACATTGGTACAATGTGTGAGGCCAATTTCTGGTGTCCCTCGTCGTGATCTTGCTGGAATACTGCTAAAAGCGGCGTAAAACCAAACTCACTCACTCATAAAAATACAGTGGAAACATGGATAAGCAATTTATGAATTTGGATGAATTATTATTCTTTCAGATTGCCCGGTGCAACTGGATCTTGTGATTGACAAACAGGGAATCCTCCAAGTTCCAACCCCAAGTCCCTGCAATGGTCCTTTCAAGGAGCCACCCCCCCAAAAAGCTAAATTGCATGAGGAAGAAATTCTTACCCTCCGGGCCGAAAAAGAGAAATTTTTACAAGAAACCATTACATTAAAAGAACAAGCAGAATACTTTAGATCCAAAAACATCATTGCCAAATTAGAGAAGGAAAAGTTAGAGCTGGAAATACTAATATTAAGAAAGAAATGTGTAACATTAGAAGAAGAGTAAAATGAAATGAAAGTACAAAATAAAGAACATAAAGATAGATGTGTAGTAAAGTTTCAAGAGAATAATAATTTATATTATAATAAGAATTAATAATTATGTCAATAGCTATGTTAATTGCTAAGATATATAAATACATAATACAAGAAAATTTGCCTTTTGGAAAAAACAATTTGGAATTCAAGGAAATATACTGAATGTGACTCGCTGATCTGGGACATGTATATGGGGGAAGGGGGAGGGGGTGTGCTAAGCTGTGTGAACTGGTGTCTAGGTTGAATTTGCGTGAGAATATGTGTCTGTGGAGTGGGGCGGGGGGGTAGGTGGTGGGGTTGCTGTATACATATAAAGATATTATTAGTTATAATGTTTTATTTATGTATTTCATTGATTGTATAATTTTAGGAGTGTCTTTTAGGCCAGTAATGGCCAGGTGTATTATGTACACATGACACATTAATAAACTATATCATTATTATTATTATTATTATTATTTTCATGCATTCCTATGGACAGTAACATTGACGGATCCACATACCTACTTTGTCTAACTAGCAAAGTCACTCATCCCTGACTATATCTGGGCTGTCTAATAGCTCCTGTTTACCTGTACACAAGTATTAGAAGAAGCAGGAAGATACCAGATATTAACCAGCATTATCAAACAAATTGTTAATAGCAAAATTCTTTTGACCACAAATACAATCATCTATGTATCAAAACAGTTGGGAGCTACATCAAATACAGATAGCATCAATGCATTTATGCATAGGTCAGTAAATGTCAGTTGCAATTTACATTGATAATCTAGAGAAAATTGAACAAGCCAATCCCTTGCCACCTTCCCACTTAAAGTATTCCATATTACAAACATTTAGCTGAAAAACTGCTGGCACAGGTTTTTACGAACATTGCTACCTGTCCATTCATCAGCAACATGGACAATGACATTATTATTCGTGTCAATATCATCATGATCAACATTTATTATATCTTTTCTATCAATACCAATATTATGTAGAATCACGCAGGCAGTTATAATTTTACAAGCATTTTGAGGTGTTGTTCTTAATCCACTGGGTAAGCAAGAAAATCTTCGTTTTAAAATTCCAAAACTCTGTTCGACTAAAACTCTAGTTCTGCAGTGACTTCTGTTATATCTTTCTTCAGCCCGGCATGAGGTTGTGAGGAAAGGTGTCATTAAGTATGACTTGCATGGATATCCCGAGTCTCCAAGAAGAAAGCCCTTGTATGTTCCTATAAAATGAAGCAGATCAGAATTTGTATGATTCTGGTGACATTTGATCATGACATGCAGAAAATGATTTTTTTACTGATTTAACAGTGATGCAATAACCAATTGTCTTGGAACCATAATAATACATTTTTAAAAAATAATCATTTCAAAAGGCTGTTTACCCCTTTCCCTCAGCAATAAATATTATTGGTTCTGTAAATGAACTGTGTCCTTAAAAGTTTTGTCATTTGGTATAATTTACAGTTCAAATCATGTCAGATTAAAGATGAATTATGACCTCATACCATTTTCAAAAGCAACGCTGATTTTACTGTCCCGGATGATGCGGCTGTCATGGACACTCCCTGGCCACTTCACAACACAATTGAGGAACTTGTAGTTGGCATCACATATCATCTGATAAGTTATAGAATTAATAGGTCAGTTCAATACATTTATAAGCACAAAACACTGCATGTCATTGGTCAGTAAACAGATTGATTGAAATTATAACAAAAGAATAATTGAAATGGTATGATTCATATTTTGGCTGCCACTGTGTAGGCAGTGATTTGTGAATTTTAAAATATAGATTCTATTTTCATACATTTCATGAAACATAAAACGTACATGAACATAAGTGATTTTAGCTTCTGGCAATAACAATTATTAAGTGTCATAAACATAATATTATTACCTGAACATTGAGCGAGTGAAATCCTTTACGATTCAAATAATCGACTTCATTCCTTGAGGGTGCTATAATGCGGATGAAGGTTCCATCTAAGCAGCCCAGAACATTGGGGAAACCTGAAAAATTAAATTATATGTTTCATTTTTAAGATTCATTAATGATAAATTATTGTTATTATCAGGAATATATTGCCAATTTTAAATAACATTATGTCAAGAATTTTGAATTGGCTGTTATGGTAATTATCTTTGATTATATTTTATAAAATATTTCATTACAATTTGATTTTTTAAACGATTGAAGGCGTTTATTTTTATGCATTTTACAAAAGGTATTGGAAATTTAAAGTGTATATGTTAAAATATGATAAACGTAATTTTTATTGAAAGTTTCCGTCAGAATTTCCAGATTTATGTCATGATGATAGCTGTTCGTTTTAGAAAGGGAAAGGTTTTTTATATAGAAATGACAAGAATTAGAGTAGCTCCCCCTTATTTGACCTAGTAATTAATAACACCACTGAAGAGGCGAGTTGAAGAGGAATCGCTTTCAAACACACTCACCTGCAATTTGGAAGAACATTCTCTTGATCTTGTCTGCATCTTGTCCAGTTGGCATACATACAAAATGCCGGAGATGTTCGATCAGACAAGTGCATACATCTCTGACTGACCGAAACACCGAAGAAGTTGAAATAATCGAATATGAATCGGCGATCAAAGAATAAAAAGATCCAGTGGCCAGGAAACGCAGGGCGACAAGTACCTGCGTTAAAACAGGTAATGGGCTGCTTCTGTTGGAGCACCGTTCAAGTTTCTCACAAACAAGGGAAACAATAAATAAAATGCTCTCCCCACGGAAACGGAACCTCATGAATAACTCCTCGGGTTCCATGAACTCAAGAGGATTTTGTCTATCGACTAATCCCCTTGACAATGTTGATATTTGTTTCTGCCTACGACGCCTACGTCTATTCAACACCGCCATTTTATGACCGACAAAAAAACTTAAGTAACCTTCCTACCTAACTCAAGTTGTAAACTCAGTTTGAGTCGAAAATTGAACTGAGTTTGGTTTGAGAAATGCATTTTGCTGAGTTTTCTCAAATTTGAGTAAAAACTCAGACTTAAGTGTGTTTTTGAACTTAAGTTTGTTTCGAGAAATCGGGGCCTGGACTTAAAAATAATGTCAATAACATGATCGTGGTCTGTAGAGTACAATGAGACGATAACTGGAACCACGTGATTTACTGTATTTGGCTGTGACACATGACAACTCCAGGAAGAAGGATCTTGCTTTTATGGTAAACTTTCTCTGTGAAGACCTGTTGTTTTCAAAGAAGTAAGACTCTTCTTCTTATGCTTCTCGGAGCTGTGTGGGCGGATACTGCTCCTAAAACACTTGGAAACCTATTCCCGACTAGGTATCTTCTAAGGGCATTAGTGTGGTAACATCACCAGATGCTCACAGTTTTTAGAACGTCCTCGTCAGTATTGGGAGACACAGAGACACAGAAACGCATTTTTGTAAAGTGAGTGCCAGCATGCTTGGGACGAAAAAAATAAATTGACAGATTCTCTGCCTTTGCACGAAGGACGCGCATTTGGCATCTCCGTGCGTTCGATGGTGTTACAGGTGACAGCGCCACTGTCTCTGAGGACTGCTACTGTGCACATTGTCTCCGTCTACTGTCACTGCTTTACTGGTAGCTGTCTTGTTGTTATCTTTAGTTAAACTCACTCACTCACTCACTCTCATGCCCACTCACCAACTCACTCACTCACATTTTGTAGATATTCATGAAGGTCCAAATTGGATGACATATAACTAGTGTCGTGTGAAGAAAGAGTGTTCAGTGACGTAAATTAGATAGTGACTCAAAAACACATCCTCATTATAGAGTCGGAATCCTACAATCGATTCTGCTGTCAGCAGAGATTTCTTATGAATATGGAAAAGGATTTTGTCGCCTTTATCTACACTGGTGCATTTTTTCTCACATTTATCTTAACTTGTAGTTATAACACCATACCAATGTCACACCTTTCTTAAAGCCTTGCGACCTGAGTCTATATATCGCTTGATATCTTCTCTTAACTTGAGAACACCAACGGTTACACTACCGTATAAGGGGCACAGTTGGCCCAGTCGCCTAAGACGTTCATTGTGACCACAGCTCGAATCCAAGATTTGCCCAGGTTCTGTGTCTCGGTTTGACAACGCAACACCTGAGGTCGTTGGATTCACCAAAGTGGTAAACCTCTAAGACCTGAATCATTTCGGGCTCTCCCCACATCAAGCTGACACGCTGAAATAACGAATTACAACTCAAAGCGGAGTTAAACCAAACACTCACCTACTCACAATTGTACTATTCACTACTGCTTTAAAGTTCTATATGGAGAATCTTTCACATCCCTGTTCAATCCCAACCTCGAAAGGGCATAACACTGCCTTAATGAGTTTGTTAAACATAATCGTGTACGTGTTTCTGTTTTATTGCGTTTCAGCTTATGTTTTATTAAAGCAAGAAGTGACAACAAATCCTAAATTGCTGACAAATCAAAGATCAACATCATTCGAACTCAAGATTAGTTCGTCTTCTCACAGCTAAGGGCCGTAACTCTTTATAGAGAGTCACACAGTCCAGGATGGTGTAGTGGATACAGCGCGTGCCAGAAGAGCAGAAGTTCGGAGGTTCGATCTCCGGCCGCGTCATACCAAAAAAGAGGTTTAATGACGCTACCTGTTGTTTTACCCTGTCTGATGCCCAGTCATACGAAGGTAAAACAAGAAACGACCGGCTATGAGTCAGTATACTGTGTCCAAGTTAAACTGTGGCATGGTGTCTCATCGGTCTTGACTACACAACTTGCATTAGTCCGGCCAAGAACAAGCAGACACTCACAATATAATAAGTTTTTCTGATCTTTAAAAATAAAGTTGGTAAAGAATGTTTAAGCATAAAAACGAAGTTCATCATAACGAATGTATTCTATTCATCTGACAACAGTAAGGAGAAGTGTGTTAATGTATTTCGACATTTCAAACATTCAATTTCCCGACAACCAGTTCTTCCGCGTTCTAATCATAAGATAAAACACTCTTGGAGACGTACACACGGCAGCTTAGCGATACATCAGTCCAATAAGATGCTATGTGTCTACTCTGCAACGATCAAGTCTTTGATAGGCATTTAGAAGTCGCAAGGACATGAAGACATGAAACGTAAGTTGGATAACAACTTCTTGAAAAGGTGATCAATAACTGGTTACGTGTCTCCGCCTTCAAGGATACTTTACGGTCGAGCGCCAAAAACTCAACCAAACCAATTCCATGTACATTTTGTACGTAGAAGCAATTGGAACAACGAACGATGACAGTTTGCCGCAGCGTTGTAACCTCTTAATTCTAAGTAGGAAATTAGTTAACAGACTAAACCATACAAGATGGCAGAACCTTGCCGCAGCGTTGTAACATCTTAATTATAAGGAGGAAATTAGTTAACAGACTAAACCATACAAGATGGCACCACCTTGCCGCAGCGTTGTAACATCTTAATTCTAAGTAGGAAATTAGTTAACAGACTAAACCATACAAGATGGCACCACCTTGCCGCAGCGTTGTAATTTATCCTAATACTAATGAATAATTTAGTTAAAGAACTACTTCGAGGTAGCTGGCGACTAAATCATGTGTTTTTACGGGATGTGAGGGTACACTTCCCCATAGATTAACTGGTGGTTTCTTCCAAGGGATCCATTGAGCCATTCTAATACAGTATACATCTTTCTGATAGATGAAAGTCAGAGTTTCATAGGTTGGTTCTGAAATCGTTGCGAGTTGAAAATGGCATGCTGCTTGTCACGAGTGAGTGAGTGAGTTGGGTTTAGCGCCGCTTTTAACAGTATTCCAGTTATATCACGGCGTGTCAGCTTAATGTGGGAGGAAAGCCCGAAGTGATGCAGGTCTCAGACGTTCACCACTTCGGTGAAACCCACGAGCACGGGTATGGTGCTGACAAACCTAGAAACATAATCGGGCTGAACCGAGATTCGAACCCACAATCATAGGTTTCTGGCGTGCCCAAGGGACGCAACTCTGCACAGCGAATCGCGGCGCCTTAGACGACTGGGCCACCCGTGCCCCCTGCTTGTCACGAGATTCCAACATTAATTACACTGGTGGTCCGTGGTTGACCGACATAGAAGTGACCTCTTATGATGTCATTTGATAATGACTGTGTGTTACAACATAATACATTCGCACACGCATGTAGTCACGCACATACACTTGCGTTGGCCGTTTGATCCAATGTACTGAACTATAGTGAGTGGGTGGGTTACGAGAAAAGGACCCCAGGAAGGCAAGAGGAGTGAAGGATGGAGTTAGGCATCTTCCCGAGGCAAAAGAGTTGGATGACTTTAAGGTCCAGTTTCCACCCTTGTCGAACTAGGCTGGAATTCATGGGCTCGACCCTAGCGCCATCAGTGGTTATAACGAGTTATGTCCCTTCTAAGCCTCTCCTATGGACCAATCCGATTCCACCTCTCGTATCACTTGCATTTGTTTCAAACAAAAGGACGGCGCTCAGCCAAGACGATATGACCGATAATCAAAATCTATCTTGTAATAAAGCGGGTCTTATATCGCGAAGCGCATCAAATCACGTGAGCACCTTGATTAAAAAGATGAAAAGATTTGGAAAATATCTGTTCACAACGAGTTGGCGGTGCGCATGCTTTGCAGATCCTGCAATCGACCAAAATCTGCACGACAGTTTACTAACCGGATTTCGATTTCGTTTCGCGATTTTGATTGGACTATGCATACACTCATTAGTCCAGCCAAAATGAAACTCCATAATACCAGCCTAGTTCGGAAAGGGTGGAAACTGGACTTATAGAGCCAGTTGACTCTCTTGCCTCGGCAAGATGGGAGTGAGGGGGTGGGAAGAAGGAATGTGGGTAGGGAGACTGGTCAGAAATGACAACGCTACATGCATAACCTTCACAGTGGGCCAGGGAATGTAAACTATATCTCATTGTAACAACTAGACACATCTCAAATGACTACATGCATGACATATAAACCTATACTACTCTGGAGGACATCAGCCTTTAAACAGTCAAAACCAGACAGGTCCCAATGACCCTTTCGTGATCTAAGCCTGTTCCAGCCAAGAGATTAGTAGTCCAAGATACGGTCTACTCCAGAAGCATGACTTAACGTTTTAACTAAACAAGACCCGATGGCCATACTCAAAAGACATCACGTTCTGTGGAAGTAAAGAGACAAGTCCAGATGCCCAGACTCATTGTTTTACCCATCCAGACTCATTGGTCTTTAATGCAATTTATACAAGTTTAATTGCCATGAAACAGCAGTCGTGGGAAATTTGTCTATTTCATTCTCAGACACTTCCTGATCATCTGCAAGAGACCGAAGCATTCTTGCCATGTTTGTTGTTTCTCGCCAGTACACATGCTTGGTCTGTCTGAAGGTAATGGTAATCGCGTTCAGTTCCAGACGTCTTTAGCGCTCGTGTCTGTGGTGGCAAAAGTGATGAGATGATTGTCTTCGAGTGGTGTGCTGCTGTTTGTCAAACAGGTTACAGG